CATCAGGATTACTAGGTACAAGTAGTTAACTAGGAAGCATAATCAGGGAGATAGTGATTACCATTTCCTGAAATTGGAAATCAGGTGGAAGAACTGGTTTAGGGGAAAAATTCCTAGAATGGCCCCACTGAGAAACCCTAGTGATTAGTATAGAATCTGAAATATACCCTGATTTGAAGGAATCCAGGAAAGCCAGATGACCAGGAAGGAGGTAGTTGCATCATAGTCTAAAGCTTAGGTGAGAAAGTTTGGGATTCATTAGAGACATAAATAATATTGAAGATGATATTCAAAGATAGAATACATGCAGAGTGGGGAGATGTATGCAAAGAAAGAAAACAGAGGACAGGAAACATATGAAGAATATCAACATTTAACTTATGAACAGATGGGATAAGAAGCTGCATGGAACTACCATTTTCAGTAAGTATTTYACATATTGAACCCTTTGCACAATTTTAGCCAATGTTAAATCTCAAATTTCATAGTCTGTAAACTAAATAGAAGTACTGTGACAGCCAAATAACATTACTAAGCTATTTTGTCAATCCATGCCCTTGCAAATGGCTATTCTCTCATCTTTTCTCTTGTTCTTCTTCATGTTTCACAGCATCTACTCTAGTTTCTTGCCTCTACCAACTCCCATTTGACTCTTACTTCCTTTTAAGTATTTCTCTCAGCCAAGGAGAATGAATCAATCTCTCTCTCTCTCTCTCTCTCTCTCTCTCTCTCTCTCTCTCATCAATAATTTGCTACTCCATCAGTATTCTTTATTTATTGGAGCTATTGGGGTTCTGGAGGGCTTGTTTTACCTCATGCCAGTTTCACCCTGGAAAAGGCTCAAAGGGAATGAATTAGGATCACTGGAGCTGAGTATGGCTAATTGTCTGGCARCTTCCCAGGATCATCTTCAATCAATCAAAGAATGACAGCAATATCAACACAGCTTCATGAGGCTCTCTGGTTGGAAGTGGGGTTCCCCAGGGTTTTGAATTTGTTATCCAGTCACATGATATACATTGTCGACCAACATAAAACTAGAAAACACTAGAAACCTATCTTACTAAACCAACAACTTAAGTTGGAGGGATGTAATCCCTTCATGTAACAATTTAGGGCTCATAATACTACATTTTATAATTCTTTCTCATTAATAAAAGTCAAGARTGAGTACTAACACTAAAACAAAACTAGAGAAAGGAAGCTATTAGATTAGCTATCAGTGACAAGTACATACTGCTTCAGAACAGCCAGTTATTCTCACTGGATCCTTTCCAGTGGAATGCAGGTCTGGTAAATGGAGCTGCCCTTCAAACAATCAACAAATGTGAGCCTTGTAAAGAGACAGTGTGCAAAAAAAAAAAAAAAAAAAAAAAAAAAAAAAAGATGAGATTTTGCATTACTTTGCAAATTGTACATAACATCTAAGGAGGAAAAAACCCTGTCATAGCCATTGAAGCTGTCTATATTATGATGATTTTCTATCACAAAAGAGTAAATTGTTTTTATTCTAATTATTTATTTTTGGATAATTCTTTTGACAGAAAAGTGTCTTGTAGAAATAATGCGTTTATCTAATTTTCAAAAAGGTGCCCTAGTAGTGGCCATGATAAGTCGTTCACTCTAAGAGACATTATATAAATTCAGGTAGGTTCCAAATTATATTAAGTATTTTGGGTGTCTTCAAATGATGATCGAGTTTCAACAGTAAGTCTTGTCCTGTTAGTTTCAATATTAAGTCTTAGTCTCAATATTAAGTCTGCTTAGTTTTAATATTGTCAATATAAAGCCCTCTTAGTTTCAATATTAAATCTTGTCCTTCTCACTTTGTGAGACAGATTTTCTCTACTGTAAAGTTAGAGGTTTAACCAAATGACTGGTTTGGTTCTTTCTCTATACAACCACTTTAAGATCTTCATTATAGATCAGATACATCTATGGCTTGTTTGAACAGCATGGGTCTTTGAGGAAACTTCCAAAGGTATTCTAAACATTGAAAAAAAATCTCAAGTCAAAATCTCATTAACCTTAACATAAACATCACGCAAAAATGTCATTGTAAAAAAGGGAAGAACACCAACACTTTTGAACATGTATCAGGTGGCAGGCATTTCTCTTACATGATCTCATTAATGTCTATAACCATCTTGTGAGTTGCTATTGTTCAAATTTTTTGGAGAAGGAAAGACTGATGTATCACAGGACCAGTCACATTGTGTCTAGTGTGATCTAGTGCTTAACAAGTCTAGAACAAGGAAAACTGGACAATACAAATGCTTTATTGGTATTATCTGTAAGAAACCAAAGAGGCAGAAAGATCTGGAAGGTGCAAGCACTAGAGCCAGTTCAGTGTTCAATTGTATCTAGCTTTATCCAAGCTTACTGACATTTCCTCTACTGACTACTACCACCAACACTGACATTAGATGATCTTGTCAGTCATACCCTCTTTATCACTGATGGTTATCAGAAAGCCCAAAGCAGTTAGTTATATTGAGAACTCACAGATTCCCCCACTCCATCSGAAATGTTAGTTCCCCAGTTCTCAATCAATCTTGGCACTGTCCCAGATTGAGGGTGGAATCAATGTGACAGAAGTTTAATTTTCTAAATCATTGTGTCGAACATGGTATTGTTGTTTTTAAAAATCCTTAATAAAAAGGTCTTACTAATGGAATAGAGATCTTCACATATTATTTAAGACAGATGGTACCAGACCTTAATCAATTTTGATCCTCACATAGCTCAGRAGACATTTGGTTGTCATATGTCCCCTCCCTGTATAGAACCTGCTTACTCTAAAGGCAGAATCAGTTTGTTCTATATACRGGGATGTGAGCACAGTCAATAATGGTGGAACAGGTGATTGATTTATATCTCTAAAGGCAAGAGAATTTCCCRAAAGGAGCAAATAAATTTATTTGATATGTAGTCTTATAACAATTTAAGATATAATTCACATATCATACAGCTCACACAAAGTGTACAGTTCAGTGGGTTTTAGTAGATTCAGAGTTGTGCCACCATTACCACAATCAACTCTCCAGCATTTTCATTACCCCAAAAGAAAACCCTATACTTGTTAGCATCCCCTCCATTTTTCTCCCAATGCCCCARCAATAGGTAAGCACTACTCTACTTTCTCTATATATAGATTCGCATATTCTGATCATTTCATATAAACGAAACCACACCATATATGGGCTATTTTTTCTGCCTTCCTTCACTTTGCATGTTTTCAATGTTCATTCAGGCTGTATCATGTATCAGTACTTGATTACTTCATTCAAATACTGGGTAATTTTTCCATTGTATAGACATACCACATTTTGTTTATTTGTTTACTTTGTTGAACTTTAGACTTGCTCCAATTTGGGGCCATTATGAATAATGCTGCTGTGCACATTTGCCTACAAGATTTTGTGTTGACATATGTTTTCACTTCTCTTGGTTATCCACCAGCAGAGTTGAGTGCTCCAATGTCTTGGTGTTCACGCCAACGCTTGTTCTTTTTTTTTTTTTTTTGGTATAGCTATTCTAGTGGCTTCAACATGGTATCTCATTGTGGATTCCAGTGGTATCTCCTGATAACTCAGGATGTTAAGCATATTTAATGTAGCTATTGATCCTTTATATTTCTTTGAAGAACCATCAATTCAATTCTTTTGTTCATTTTTTAAATTAGTTTGTTTGTCTTTTTGTTATTGAGTCATAACAGTTCTTTATRGTCTGGCTACATGTTCCTCCCTTGGCTGATAAGTGATTTACAATTTTTTTCTCTTAGTTCTGAGTGTTGTCTTTTTGCTTTCTTGATAGTGTCCTTGGARGCAAAAGAGTTTTAAATAACTTTCATTCTGTCCAATTTATCTTTTTTTTTTTTTTTTGCTTCTGTTTTGATGTTATTAAGAAGCCATTGCTAACTAAAATCATGAAGATTTATGCCTGTTTTCTTCTAAGACTTTTATTGAGGTAGCTCTTAATATATAGGTCTTAAGTCCATGTTTACTCAGTTTGTGTGTGTGTGTGTGTGTGTGTGTGTGTGTGTGTGTGGTAGGAGGAAGAGATCTAACTTCATCATTTGCAAGTAGAAATCCATGTTTCCAATCACCATTTGATGAATATCATTTCCCTATTGAATAATCTTAGCACCTTTTTCAAAAATTAAAATGTAGGCATCATTTCTGGACTCTCAACTCTATTGATACTTTATTCTTTTTGATGCTGTTGAAAGTGGTTTCCTTATCATCATTTTTAGTTCATTCATTGATACTTTATAGAAACCAATCAATTTGTGCATTTTATTCTTGTATCCTGCAGCTCTGCCGAATTCATTTATTAATGCTAATGTTTTGTTTTGTTGTAAGTCCCTCTTTGGATTTTCTCTGAATTACTTTTAGATTTCTATGCCTGAGATTATATTATCTGCAAATAGAGCTTGCTTCTTCTTTTACCATGTAGATGTCTTTTATTTATTGTCTTGTCTAAATTGCCCTGGCTCGACCCTCCAGTATAGGTTGAGTAAACATCCTTGTCTGATTTCTGATTTTAGGGAGAAATCATTCAGTTTTTCATCATTAAGCATGATACAAACCATTTTCATAAATGTATTTTATCAGGTAGTGCTCTACTATTACTAGTATGTGTGTGTGTTTATTATTAAAGGGTACTGGATTTTGTTAAATAATTTTTCTGTGCCTAATGAAGGTATCAATGTGGATTGTGATTAAATCTCATCTATTTCCTTTTCCAAACACTCCAGAGAAAGCAATTAAAAATGGCATTCACTGAATAAATGATAACTTTACAAAAAAAGGCGCAAAATAACATTTTGAAAAGGTTTGTAGATAAGTAATCTAAAGATATCTAACAATCACTTTAAAATATAAAAATATAAGTATATGAGAAGTTTTTCTGATTAAAACAGTAAAACTTCATTTGCTGATTATAGGAAAATATGTTCTTATAAGAAAAATGAAGCATAATAAATTAACATGATAATTATCACTTTTACATATATATATATGAAAAAGTACATGGTAGAATTACTAAATTTCTCTGGTAATGACAAACATTCTCCTATTCTAAAAAAATTTCATTTTAAAATAGAGATTTGCATTTCAAAAGCCATTGTATTAATTTAATCAAAATATATCATGCTTTATACTTTATAAAATAGCATATTAACAATCATATTTATCACACAAACGTTGAGAGTTGTGTTGTTTGGGAAGATAAAAACAATAAAATTCCCAATTATAGCTTGATTGTGCTCTGTGTAGTATATATAATGCCTTCTGCTTTAATCCGATCCAAAATGGGCCCATAGATCTCCTTGGAGAAGGGCCCCATCAGGCCTTTGGCTTCAATTTCACCTGGAAGAAAATAAAAGTGTGATTATCATTTCAAAGATGGTACTAAAAGTTAATTTCCCCAGCATAAGGGAAGGTATCATCCCAGCAATAATCTCAGCATAACAGATGGTCAGAAGCCTGACATTAAAACAGCTGCTTATATGTTCCCTGCTAGACCATTACTTTGTCAAGTCACTGTAAGAAAAAGGGACGAAKTTTGGATTGAAAACATAGCTGAACTCAGTGTCATTAACTGCATTAATTCCTGCCAGAATGAAGAGAAACCAATCTGATTATTTGACCACTAGTACCTGTTAGGATGGCTGAAACAGGAAGTCTGGGCACTTTTCATAACTTCCATGATGACCCTAGCCTTTACAGCTTCTTCACTGTGGTTCCTCGAAGACCAAGTGAGAAGTTTAATTTGACATTATCTGATATGCTTTGTAGATATGTTTGCTCATTATTTCACATTTACACATATTGATGTTTTTTCACTCCCTTCCTTCTTTCAGACAGACCAAATGGAGTATCATATTCAGAGGTAATGCTTAATCATATTCAGAGGTAATGCTTATTGAATGTATATGTGATCATAAGGGGAAAGTGGAGAGTTAAAATTTGAATTCATTTATAGAGGGTTCCAGATTTCAGATGGTTTGACATATTGGGATTTTCAACGTTATCATGGTGTGTTCAATATAAATTAATGTATTTATATGGAATAGACACATGTGATATAAATCATACTTAGGATCTTTATCTTTTCTCAGGCTAGTGATATGCCATATGATACTCTCATGCAATGCTGGGCAGCAGCAGSCAGCCACAACTCCCAGTCAGCCATGAGATCTCCAGAGTGAATACCTGATACTCTACAGTAAACTGAGTTGCTAAGTTAATGTTCATTAGGTTAGGTGTAGTGGATGCATTTTCAACTTAAGACGTTTTCAACATACAATGAGTGCACCAGGATGAAAGCCTGTGGTAAATCAAGAAGCATCCATAATCTTAAATACTAAGTACAGACAACATGCTGAAATACAAAGTTAATAAACTATGGTTCATAATGGAAAGAAATTAACATTCCCTTGTGGGTCCCTGTATGTTGCAGGAATTGATATGTTATTTCACTCAAACATGACAATAGCCTTATGAATTAGGGATAGCAATACCCACTTTCAAGATGAAGAAAGTACTCAGAGGTGCTGAGTAAATGATAACCCATCACAACTATCTTATGACTGGGCTGGGTGGAAATTAGGTCTTACTCCAAAGCCTACTCTTCCCTCTCCACATGGTGACCTCCCAGTAAGGGATCTTCTCAGATAGCTCACTCTCAGTCAATGCCAGTGTTATGCTCAAGAGTAATTATCTGATGTCCAGCACTGAATGACTTGAAGGTGATATGAAGACAGAATCAGCCCTTGAGTGAACAGAACTTACCATTAAGCAACATTTTGGCTGCCATGGCAGTGGGTAACCCCACAGTTTTAGCCATTGCTGAAAAGCCATTGCAATCTCCATAAACCACAAGATCAATAGTTTTATTTTCTAAATGTCCAGAAGGATGTCTGATTCCAAAGCTGTCTCTCATCACAATCATGTCTTTTTCCTCAGGGCCTTAAAATAAACACAGACATTGAAAAATGCCACTATAACTCAAATAACTCATTATAACTCAAATATTATGTCTCATTTCCTGCTTGACTCCTTCTCCTCTCACAAACTTTCCTTCCCATTGCATATGGTCATTAGACCATTATCCTACTGTTTTTCAGACCCAAAACCAAGGGGAAAAAACTCAAGGAAATTAAAACTCTGATCATGTTCTTTTGTTGAGGTCATGATCACTGGCTATGCAGTCACAAGGACAGTACCATAGAGGCCACACACACAATTCCAAAAATGCTCCTTGAGTATTTCCTAATAAGTTATAGTAAAGCTATTTCTGTTTCCTTTCCCACAGTATTTAAGTTCATTCTTACCTAAAAATCCTCACACTCTGGAAAAACAGCTCAAGTATCCTTTCCCTCACATCCCTTCTCCCTATTTCTACTGCTTGGTTCCAGCCTGGCAATCTACTCTTCTAATTCTATTGTATGACTTGTCCTTAGGGATACTTCTCTATGACCCCCACATCGTACCATAGGAGAGCTTCAAGGCCAAATGCTTGGAGAGGGCGTCCACGATGGAGTCAGCCTGGGGGACTTGATCTTCCCCAAGTAAGCCCAACCTGAAAAGTACAAGAAGTGGCTGCTTTAATTCAAGCCCTATACATGTTCTTATTTGGGAAGCAGAATAGAGAGTCACAAATTTTATCTCAAAAGGACAGAATTGCAAGGTAACTGCCCAAGATCTAGATCTCTCCTAAATTATAAAATGATGATGTTTTAACCTTTTGGAGTCCTCCCCAGACTACCCCAGAGATTGCTCCTTGCAGCAGAGCAGAAATAATGCATTGTAAATCCACATTGTAAAAAAGCTTTTTGTGAGATTACAGATTAGCTGCTCCACTTTAAGTGTACCTGCATAACACACAGCAATTATGTGAATAAACATTTTAAAGYATTGGGGGAATACTCAGAAAATCTCCTACAGGAAAGCGGAATCATACCACTTTATTCAGGAATGAATGAGAAGTTTTTCGAAATGAACATTTTCCAAATTTTAAGTGTCATTTAGTTCCTCTTTTTACCTACTTTTTATGCCCATATGAACATGCAGTAATCTCTCCACAGCGGACCAACATTAGAGCAGTTAGTTAACCCAAGGCAGATGCAAAATGCTTGGTTGTGTCTTTACCTTTCTTTGACTAGAAAGGACCAAGTAATCATTGGTCCAACATATTTTGCTCTAACTTGAATGGGGAGTGCCTACCATTCAGCAGCCTCCAGCTGGCTTTTGTCCCCTCCCAGTTTCTTGAGGACAGCTTCCTTAAGCATATCACACGTGGAGGAGCGTGAAATTCCAACTAGGTCACAGAGGAGTTGTTTCTGATTAGAAAAATAAAGATAATGAATCTGACAATATTATCCTATATGTATACATGACTACACAAYCAGTGTGATTCTACATCATGCACAACCAGAAGAATGAGAAGTTTTACTCCATTAATATATGATGTGTCAAAGTGCATTCTATTGTCATTCTGAATAATTAGAAAAAAATTTAAATGAGGAAAAAAGATAAAAATACTTCAAAATTTTAAGTTAGAAACAGCAATGTGCATGCATCTGCACCCCTACACATCTATGCATGGTATTCCAGAATGATATTTCAGTGGTAAACACTCAATACTAAGTAAAGGAAATGTCAGCATATTTCTAGCTTTCATATATCCTCTCCATCACATTTTTCGCCCACTCTTCCCCACCCTCCAGCAGTCAATTTTGGCCAGGATAAAGTGGAAGGGACTTGACTCTGTGGTTGCCAATAGCAACCAGAGTGCTTTTGTAGGTTCAAGAGATGAGAAAGAACTGGCAGGTATAAAAAAAAAAAAATCTCAGTGGCCACAGCCTTTTCTACTTTCTAAACAAAACTTTTACCAGGCTCCCAAAGGGAAAGTCATGTTTTAAATCAGGGGTCAAAAAGTTGGTTCACAAGCCAAATGTGGCTCATCACATGTTTCATAAATAAAAATTTTATTAGAACACAGTCATGCCCATTGATTTATGTATTGTCCATGGCAGAACGGAATGGTTCCACAGAGACTATCTAGCACATAAAGTCAAAAATTTTTACAGTCTAATCCTTTACCAAAAAAATTTAAAAAGTGTATAAACCACTGTTCTAGACTACAGTGATCAACATACTGGATCYACCCTAAGAATGCCTGCACCACCCTCTGCAACCTAGCTGCCTCAAACCCAGGTTCTCTTTAAAGGTATTTACTCATTACTATCCAACAGGTAAATTTATGATAGGTAAAACTTTAATTGAAAAGGTGTACAGATGCACAAAATTACTACATTGAAAACATTGGTCCTCTTCCCCTGTGGTACATTTCTGTTGGTATCTCTGCTGAAATATGGGCACATTCATGTAAATTGAATGATCAGCTGGTAACAAGCTAACACTTTATATTCAGTTCCACGCCTCCAAAGTCCCTTCCAACTCTAAGATCAAAGATATGGACATAAACTGAGTAACTAAAACTCAAATTAGTCATGATTATGAATGGCCAAGTGAGAGGATTGGCGGGATTAGGGGTTAGGAGTCAAACTCTGTGATACAACAGCATCTCTTCTAGATTATCATATTCAAGGGCCCAAGTGACTCCTGCTACCATTATACAGTTGGAGGATCTCAGAGCCCAAAGCAGAGAACAAGTAGGTCTATTTTTAGAGCTCGGAGGAGTGATCCAATGGTACAAGCTAACATGGAAAATAGGCTTGGTGTGTCAATCCCTGGCCTTCTCCATCCTTCGGTAGTGGTGAATAGAAGGAGACCTTTAGGGCAAGGATTGGTCTTCCTACTTCAGCTGCCAACTGCACATCTGGTCATTTCAGGAGGCTTTTCTGAAGAGCAGCAGACAGCACACAATTCCCAAGTGGCTTACCCAGGTGAGAGGGTTGGCCTCAGGTCGAAGAGCAGGATATTCCTCTCTGTTGATCAGACCCAGTTTTACAAATCCATTCAGAGCTTTGGAATATCCCTGAAACAAGAATTACTAATCAGCATATGAAATTTTTCTCTTATAAGAAAACAACTTTCAAGATTTTTTGAAAAGAGGATCTATCTTTGTAACTAAATTAGAAAACAGACTGAAAATAGTCATTTGTATTGCTGATATGGATACAATCACCTCCAAGTTCAAACCAATCAGTAGTGTCATAAAAATTCTACTTGTTTATATAAAATACCTTGCAAAACTTGGGCCTTTATTCCTGTTTCCATGACTATGTGAGTGGTATTTTCGGACAGCATAAGAGCAAATTTCCATGTGCAATATATAGATAGAGTCAGTTCAGCAGACTGTCATTTAATAGAACAGTCAGTTTTGCTCTTTCTTATCATGGCAGAAGGAACTTATGGAAATATTATTCAAAGCACATAATCCATTCTACTGATTAAGAACTGCTACCCTAAAGCATATAGGGCAAAGGAAGAAAGGTTGAGAATAGAAGTTTCTAAAATGTGGACATGATCATACAACTACTTACATTAAAGTTCTGCATATGTCCTTCAGGTTACATCTGAAGTCCTTGGTATATTATATAAAACTCATCACARTGCGTCCCTGCAGCCTGACTCTCCATCTCTAACCATCCCTAAACATCTGGGCTCTTCTGCACCTACAGCTCCTGTGTCTGCAACATGTTAACCACCTCTCTTCACCTGTGGAATGCCTGCCCCTCCCTTGGATCCAACTCTGAAACTCCAAGTGAGTGGACATTCCCTTTCCTGAAATCCATAGCCTTTGTACTACCTCCACTGGCAATTAATACGTTATTCTGTGTCTGTTCATCTGGACCATAGGCATAGAAAGCAGGAAATTATATTTAATTATATTATATTTATTATATCATCACAATATATTACTGAGTGTATATCCTTTACTCTCACACCCTCACRTCATTTTCCTACATTCCAGCATTTCATTCTGCTAAAGGAGAGCAAATTACAGAATAAAATTTTTGATTGACATATTAGGTCAAACAAAACAACAACAACAAAAACAGCCTTTGTTCTGTGTGCAAATCAGGGGGGGAATGTGAATCCTGAAACAGGGAACTCAGTGGCTGCTACAATAACAGCTCAAGGATAAAGAGAGAGGAAAGTAATGTTGGAAAGCAACATAGTTTTTAATATAAATAATAGTTCCTGGTAGCCATCAGAGATTTCATCATTAAAAGTGCAGTCAACTGGTAATTTTCATATTTCTACAAGGTTGTAATATTCTAGCTATTCAAAAAGGAAAAACAAAACAAAACAAAAAAAGGAATATGCAAGTTTGCTTCAATGATCTGACAGGTACTAAAGGTTTCTTAATCTCAGAAATACAGGTTTTGTTTTGTTTTGTTTTTATTTTTGCAGTGCTGGGATTGAACCCAGAGCTTCATGCATGCTGGACAAGAGTTCTACCATTGAACCACATCCCCAGCCCCAGGAATAGTTTTATGGAGACCTCCAGAAATGAAGCTACTTTATAGACTGTCTTCAATAAACACTGAGCAAAACTGCTGGCACATTGCAGGGGCTGAAGCCTCAGAGATGAAAMACTTAATTCCTATCCATGAAGAAACTGCAGACCAGCAGAGGGTCAGATAAGACAGAAAAAAAAAATGATGCCTGGCAAATAAATAGTGATTATAAGTGACCACTGATGATCAAGCTACCATAGAATATTATTGGTGCTATGACAGAGGTGGACATAGTTATGGGAGCACAAAGGAGCAGAAACTGGCATAAACAAGAAAGGGGTGACTCAAGGGCAAGGAGTTAGGAAGATCCCAGAGAAAGGTGTTACCACACTGGATCTGGAAGGACAGCATGTGACAGGCAGGCAGAGGATGTCACCAAGGCCTCCCTGTCATATTTGAATGATAGTGTCTTATCTCCAGCCCTAGAGAGTATGTTTGGGTTGCTGAAGGTTGCCATAGCTTGCTCAGGGCAGTCCTCAAGACAAACACTGCAACTTCTTCCATGGTCAGGGGTTCCATGGACTTAGCTCTCATTCATACACATTGAGGGTTTTAGTCAATACTTAAATCTATTAAGATCCTTTATTCCTAAGTCTGCATGTTTAACAAAAGACTATACTGAAAACTCTCCAGAAATTCTAACTCCTGGACTCCACCTCCAAAAATGTTACTACTCACATAGAACTAATTGAAGAAAAACAGATCAAGAAATCTTCCAGAGCAGGGGATGGCATGACTAGTTCACACAAGAATTTCTGCTGTGACTACAGGCTTGTTGGGGAGCCAGGGCTTTTAGGTCTCTTAGGACATTATCACTGACATCTTGTTTAACTTTGGACAATGAGCACATCACACTCATAAGAGTATGACTGCCAACCTGCCCTCTGGGAGCTTATAATCTTTTGGGGGAGACAATAAAAATACACATATAAATAATACCAAAATGCTAGGAAGTAAATATTGGGAGACATAAAACCAATAGATGTTTCAACAAGTAAGAAATAAAACGGTTGTCTTTTCTTTAAATAAATAAATAAATAGAGTCTGTGGATGTAGCTCAAGTGGCAAGGTGCTCACCTAGTATGCCCAAGGCCCTCAGCTCAATCCTGAGACCACAAAAAATAATAATAATTATTATATAGGAGTATGAACTTGGCAGACATTATGCTAAGTGAATGAGTCAGACAAAAGAGAAAAATACTGTATGATCTCACTTATATGTGAAATCTTCTTTTAAAAAATGTCAAATATCAAATATGCACAGATAAAGAATAACAATGGTCACCAGGATCCTGAGGCAGCAGAGTGGTCAGGAGAGTTTTGGAAGGGGACAGAATGGGGGAGAAGCTGAACTACGGATGCAAAGCAGCAGATAAAAAGGATGAAGCTCCCAAGTTCATGGCCACACAGAACTCTGAATATCAGTTTATTGTGGATACCAGCAGATGTAATAAGTTAAGGATCTCAATATGAAATCACAGATTTCCATTGACAACTAAAAAAATATTTTAAAAACTTCCAGGTGTGCTTTGGGGAAGTCCCTCTCACCCTGTCCCTTTCCCTAGCTCCAAACCAGATGTTTCGAATGAGACTGACTCCACCTTCATCAATATGGAATATCATAGATCAAACTATACTTTTACTCTACCAACCTCGGAGATAAATCCCAGCTAAAGAGACAAAAATTACATTTTTAATGATTAGAAAGATGAGGTTTTATATTTCCACTGGATTTGACAGAGTGCAAGAAGTAAAGCCCCTACCACCCGCCTGCCACTGTGTGGAAATCCAGACTGCAGGGAATCCTGGCCAAAAGGGCTGGGGAACAAAGAGAAATTGAGTCCTGGTGAGGCCCCTTGGCCCCCAAATCTCACAAACCTGAACCTGCTTGCCCCTGACTGCTAATAAGGAAGGCATTACATTCTCCTTTGTGATTTTTGAGTTGACATCTGACATTCTAAAACTGTTAATCAAAAAAGAAAAGAGGCTGTGGGTTGGTTTATCATCTCAATTACTTTGATCAATAAGGGAAATTAAGTATTCACACACTCACATCAAAACTGGCAAGGTGTTTACTCTACAATACAGTTGCTGACCTTATACCTCAGTGTCCCCCGCAGCAGCGTGTGGGCAGACGGAATGCCGTAGATCTCAGCGTATCTGGTACTGTCTCTATTGGGATACCCTTCCAGATTCAGTCCCGGGAAGTAATCCATGGAAGTGACTGCGTCCAAAAAGGACACCCCTCCTGTGACRTTCACGACCTGAGAACATTGAAGAGATGCAGGTGGGGTTGCAGCAGAGCTTGATCCCCTTTGGGTTCATCTGCATAAACTACCCCAAGGAAACAAAAGTTTAAGTAATTAAATTTTAATGAAACTACCGTAATCAGCATCCCAGAGTCAAACTGTTTCACTGTTACCATAATTTATACATTTTTCAATAAACTTATGAATTATGTAACACAAAGGCAAAAATAACAGATACTTATTTAAATGGCTTCTATGTTCAAATCAGCATGGCAATATTCTTTTTTTTTTTTCACTCTCACACCCTCTTGAATGCCATGTCAGGCATGAGTCATACATTCCATTCACACAGCTAGCATTTATTGAGCAGCACTATGTATGTCCAGGGATCACACAAATTGTGGAGAGAATAAGGACAGTGATGAGTAAGATGTAATCTCTGTCTTCCATCTACTCTTTTTCTCATTGAAAATTAACCAGATGTCTATCCAGTACCTGGAACCATGAAGTAGCAACTACAAAGAGCTCACAGCCAGACCAGTACATAAAACTTTGTGTACATGTTAGAGGGCAGGTGAGGTTGTGAGGAGATCTCCCTTCACAACAAAGACAATGCTGAGAGCATACAGTGAAACTCAAATAAGTACTACCCATAATCTTATGGCCGATAAGTTAATCATGGATTCCCAAGCTCTTTGATATCTCAGGACATCTTTTACCTGTACCTCCTCCCACATGCACATTCAAAATGTAGTAAAGCTGCATGACCAATGCAATTCTGCAATCTGTACACTCAGAAAAATGAGAAATTATATCCCATCTGACTCAAATGTATATGTCAAGATCATTGTACTGTCATGTGTAGCTAATTAAATCAAATTAAGAAAATAAATTAATAAATAAAAGGCAAGTGGGAAAAAAAAAACCAAAATGCAGTAAAGTTTTTTTTTTTTTTTTTTTTTTTTGGCTTGGTTTTGTCTTTATTTTAATTGGAGAATTACATTTTCTTTTAGTTTGTGAGGTTTGTGGTTATCTGAGAGATAATGGAAAGAATTCTGAAGTGATAAAATCAGGGCTGAGACTTTGGGTCAGGGATCCTAGTGAGCTGGATTTTGTCCTGGCTGCACAGCAAGCCACCATCTCTGACCACATCTCTAAAACTGTACACTGGACAAGGCACAAAGAGGTTTCCAGGGGGCCTCAGGACGAACTCAAAGGAATTTTCCCAAAGGCAATGCTTTGGCTACACTTAATTATTCCCATAGTTATTTGAAGATGGGCTCCACATGTGCCTTAACATGAGCAATCAACACCTCATCCCAATATGGCGGAAGACCAGGAGGAAAAGGCCTGCCCAGACTGCAGTGTCAGGATTGGCAGAATCTCTCTGGTTAAAACGCTGTGCTGCTGTGAGGAATGCCTTCCATTTAATTTTCTTGTAACCCCTTCTGCGATGCACCACTAACATTTCCAGAGAGACCATTTCTGTACTATTTGTTTAAAATAAATCTTCTGATATGATTCCAAAGTTTTTTGAAAATCAAATAAAGAAGGTAAATGTTGACGTTTAGGGTCTCCACATCCATTTCCCTTCTATAACCTATGGCAATTCCAAAGTTCTGTTTACTTATTTAAAGGTTAGGAAATTTTTAAAAAAGAAAAACTGAATAAAAATGATGAAAGATGAAAGTCCAGCATCTTACCAATGAGAAATAAATCAGCTAGTTCGTAAGTCCATCATGAATTCTGGGGAAGAAAATCAGGAACTGTAAACTGAATGGTATTGATTCATTTAGAGAGACTGACAGTTGGCTAAGCAACCAGATCCAGAAAATTACAGGGTAATCATTACCACTTGTATCAATTCAGAGTTGTATTTCTAGCGACATACCATGGGTTCAATAAACCCTGTCATGTTTAATATTTAAGTAATGACTTGAATGAAGACAGAAAGATGTATCTACTTCACAGAGAGTATGCATTTCATTTCTTTATTCTCTGATGATACTAACATCCAAGACCTACTCTCAGCAGAATCTGGCTCATCTCTCATTGATGTTGCAGGCCACTCTAAGTCCAAATGTTTTTTACACACACACACACACACACACACACACACACACACACACAAATACATCTCCTAGTCATTAAGAATCATTGTCAAATGTTTTATATCAAACATTCAAATAACCACAATCTGCTTCATCAGTAAGCAACAAGAAATTTTTCCCTATGTAATTAGTTTTTAGTTTTTATTTGATCTTTTTAGAAATACATGACAGTAGAGTATATTTTGACATGTTTATAACCACAGAGAGTATATCTTATCCTTATAGGTTTTCAGAAAGTCACCTACTTCTACTCTAAAATCCTGGAAATCCTGACTGACAACTGATGTGGTATGAAAATTGCTCAAGTGATACAACGAGGAATTTGACACAGGAAACAGAGTCATTTATTCCAGGCCCATAGTATTTCAAGTGCCTTGGGTACCTTCTCTTTCATCTAGGCAATAACATATTTGACAGAGGTAGAAACTGAGGCTCAGAGAGTCACTCAGGAGCAAACTTGAAGCCAGGTCTAACCAACTCTAATGCCCATGTGCTTTCTACTTCGTCACACAGCCCTCTTAATTGTTCTTATTTATGAATGAGTATTTTGAAAAGATATTGACACAGTATATCGCCTCTGATTGTGCCACCAGTGGAGCATCTGAAAAGTATGGATTGCTGTGGGCAGTGGGAGAGCCATAATTGTCCTGACTTCCTAAAGGCTGTTGAAGTCAGGTGCTGGCAGGCAGAGGAAAAGTGGGCCCCTAGAAAACTTAACCTTGAAGCTACGGTTGCAGAGGAAGCAGTTTTTACTTGAAGTATGTGTTTATCTGGGGTAGACTGAGAGGAAGCTGAAAGAGACCATGGCAAAACTTTGCCATGTCCTGCCCAAACGTAGTAAGACAGTCTTCCTCCCCAAGGCAGGAAAGCAAAGCACCACCTGAGGAGGAAAAGGAACTAGGAGAAGATGAATCACTGTCTCCAAATAGGTGGAAGGCAATCAGACTTGTTAGAAACCTGATTAGAATTTAGAAATAGTACCAGTGGCTGGAACTTACCACAAGGACGTGAGATAATATGTCCTAACTCATTTTCTAATTGCTGGAAAAGTTTGACACTTCAATTTTAAATAGAAGCCAGAGAGGTCACTTGGCTCCCTCAGTAAGATTCTGCATGTCATTTAAGGCTGGCTCTGTGGTGGAGGTGATGGGAGCAGAGTGGGTGGAAGGACAAGAATACAAGAGAGGTTTTAAGAAGTTTAACAGTCTGGCTCGGGAGACAGACTGGATACACTTGAGTTACTGAGTGACTAATACAATGCCCAGGAAAATGCAGACAATGGAGTGTTAAGCATCTGACATGTGATTGAATTCAGACAAAAGAGTGAATGGAAGACAGAGTGTCAGGCAAAGCTGTCCGCAAGAAACTTAAGCAGGACCTTGAAAAAAATGCAAAGAAAGAAAAGCATCATGTTTTCTTTTTCAAATTCCTCACAGTGTCAGGAAAATGTGAAAAAGCACTCCTTTCAAATTCAACAAATATGACTTCTGCTGCCCGAGAATAACCTCTTGCTTTTCCTGTTTCTCATGACCATTAATTTCTTTATTTTGCTGATATCTGCTAAAGATTGATGACATGCCTGTCAATCAGTTGTTAAGCAGATTGCAATCTCTAGGATTTCACTGAGTCTTATTGTGGAAACCCTGTGAAGCTGATATTATTGTCCTTTTTAGACAAGAAGCCCAAAGTCCACCCAGCTCATGGCAGAACAAAACCAGGTCCATGGGCGTCCAATCCCTTGCTCCTTCCACTAGGCATTCTGCTGAGCCTTTCATTGGATCTTCCCTAGCATTTAGATAGCCTCCTGAAAATAAGCATTTTGCATAATTGAAGCAAAAATTTTTCCAGCCAGCCTTAGCATTTGTAAGAAACACAGGCCAATGTCCTTCCAGAATGCAAGAGGTGGAAGGAGCTGCTGAAATGCAACAGGAGGCAGACAGTAAGCAGCACATGAAAGGATGTGCACTTAGGAGAACATCGGTCTGAGGTTCTGGCCCAAACCGTAATGATTCATGGAACTGGAGAATTGGATGAAATTTCAGTGTTTATATAACACATGCAGAGACTGATATGCAATGGACTTAACTATTACCTAGCCTTTGGTGACACTGTGAAGGAAGCCAGCACTTGGTTTCTTATTCTGAAGCATTCAGTATCTTTCCCACATTCGCCTAAAGTGCCCTGCTTGTTTAGTAGGGTTCTAAATGAAGCTATAGTCTGCTGATCACACTAGAATGTAGATGGACACTAGAATCAGTTGGGAAGATTTTTTTTAAATCCCAAAACTCTGGTGAATCAGAACTTTAAGGATAGGACCCAGGTATCTGACATGCAGCCAAGCTTATGACCAAGATTTACATCATAGGCATGAAAGACCTGGCTGATGGGCAATGGAAACAATCAATTAGGCCACACAAGTGGGAGCCACCTCCCAAGTCATGTGATTTAATACTGGCTCAGCCACTTGAGCCTAACTGTCTACAATTGACTTCTCCTTCATAGGTCTGCTTCATAAAGGGCAGCGCCCTGCCTGAATGGCACCTTCTTATCCTTCCAGGCTGGGCTCAGCCTTCTCTCCATTGCTTTTCCTTCTCTCTCTCCACTGACCACTTCACCTAGGTCAGATCAGCTGCCCTCTGTGTATTTCTGTGGCATGTTAGTATACTTTAGAAATTCTTCTTCTTATATTATAGTTATTTATTCCAGTGTCTATTGTTTCACTAATAGGAAGCAATCTAGGAAAAGGGGAAAGGAAAGGTTTTGGAGTCATTTAGAACTGAATTTGAGTCCCTGATGATGACCTTGAACATCCTCTCTGAGCCAGTTTCCTTACATAAATTGGTAAAAATAATACTAAATATGGAGAGTTCTTATGTTCTGTTACACAGCGGCTAGGGATGAAATTGTACCGGTAGCCACCCCCATCCAATGGTGAGTTCTCTGAGGATGGGCACTGCATTCAGTGTGGCAGCCTTTGGTGCCTCATCCCACAGCCAACAACAGTAGCTACTTAGTAAATGCTGAAATAAATGCAAAGATGACCGGAATGTATGAGTGTAGAGATGGGATGTGAATTTCCAAAAGCAATTTGCAAGAAGGCAAAGAGAGAAGAATGCTCACAGGCTTTGCTGGAAGGTAAGACAACACTAAATGGTACAGGAGATGTATGCTGGGAAGGAAGTGACAATGGGGGTGGGGGGAGGCAGGAGAGCCATTGTTAGAGGACCTCAGCAGCAACTCAGGGAGAGAGAGTTTGGACTTTGTTAGGCAGTTATTGCAGGTTTGTATCTCTAAAGCTTTTTATTTCTTTACCTTTCCATTGAGCAGATAGGTGGCAGGCTGCATGATATTCATCAAAACGCCCACTGGACTCCAGCTAAATTTGTATCTCAAAGGGTTGTCTGAATGTTCAGGGGCTGGGATCCCACCACAGTAGGAAATGTAAGATTCAATCTGTAAATAAAAACATTAATGGATGAGGGAGAATAAAAAATAAGCTAGGGAGAATAATGAATTTAAATCATCAATTGAGGGCAATGATATTCATGGGGTAAATCTGCTGTAACATTTTTCTTCTTTTGAAGTATTAAAGCTTTTAAATATATGTCCTTAACATCAGACACTACTTGATTAACTCAGTTGTATTTGATAAACATTAAAAATAAAAGGGATGTCTAGAGAGAGTAACTAACATTTTGTTCATTTAAAAATGAACTTCTTATCAATTACTTCTTATCAATTCCAGTTCATATTAAAATTTACATGTATTTGTATATTCCAAAAATTGAAACAGTTAACATATTCAATAGTACTTTGTTATGTGCAAATATCTCATACTCCAACATAATGATGATATTCCAAAGACCCTTTTCTCACTTTCAAAAGTCAGACTATATTACAGAACCTCCAAAGCAGTCTAAATTCTTTATGAAGCTAAAATATTGTAGTAATGTCCATTTTTTCTAAACATTATTTGCTACCCAAGACTCAGACATTGTTTGATATTTTTGACTGACGGCACAAAATTTTATTTGAAATTCCCCGGCAAAGACTGAGCTATAATGCAGCAGCATCATTCGTGACAATTATAGAAAGATTGTGTACACGAGAAACGACCTCTTAATGTCTTTCTAAATGGACTTTGGGATTAAACTAGGCTCACCGTGGCTCCCACTTCTTTGGCCTTATCAATTGTTTCCATTGCCAACATGTGATCCAGCCCAGGGTCCAATCCCAATTCACCAATGACAGTGATTCCAGCATCCTCCACACTGCAAACAGGTGGAAAGAGGAACAACAAAAAGTTGGATATAAAGTGAAAACAAAGCCACAGAGCCACTTAATTTGTTGGAAATGGTTGGAACGAACCTCTTTTCCAGTTCTTTTAGGGCTGGTGTGATGTAGCTTGCAGTGATCATGTTAACTTTGCTTTCGACACATGCCTTGGCCACGATAGGATGCAACACATAAGGCAACAGGCTTAAAAACAGAGGCAAAAACGAATAAGAAACTCTCTTTTCATTATGGATTGGATCTGGAATGTCCCCCCTAATCAGCAATGTACAGAGGAAGGGCTTTGGGGAAGTAATTGGATGGACTCTGACCTCTTCAGTGGATTAGTCCATTGATAGCTGAATAGACTGCTGGGAAGTAGTGAAAACTGTAGGCAAGTGGGGCACAGTTGGAGGAAGTGGGTACCTGAGAGCATGCCCTGGGGATTATGTCTTGTCCCTGCCCCTACCATCTCTCTGTTTCCTGGCTGTCATGAGCTTTCTCTGTCCTGCCCTTTCACCAGGTTTTCCTGCCTCATCTCAGAGCCAAAGCAATGGGCCCAGTCTACTATGGACCAAAATCTCCTGAACCMTGAGCCAAAACAAATTTTTCCCAAAGTTACTTTCCTCAGGTGTTTGTCACTGTTGCAAAAAGCTGACTAACACACACCCCCTTCTGAGGCACCTTTATCTGTACTAACATTCAGTCCCAAGGCACTTCTCTCAGAAATGACCAAGGACTCCCTGAAGTTCATAGAATAAATTCATCCTGTTGGCACATCTAAAAGCCTCCTTAGTGACGCTCACTTAACCTCCATCTCTTCCCTCAGTCTGTTCATATGTTATGTGGAAACAAAGGAGCAATTGTCATTCTTCACTCAAGGTCTAGATGGAAGGACTTCAGTTGATATTGTTTTGATTTTTGGAAAATGGGATTAGAGCTGACCTCTCTTTTTGAAGGTGATATAATGGGCACTCAGTGGGACATAACTTGAGTCATTTGACTTCAACCCAATTAATCCAAAAGGATTAAAAGTATCAGTTGTAAAAAACACACTCAAAATGCAAATGGATTTTCAAAGAAACTAACCAAATTTGATTACTATTTTATATTAAATCATTAAAAACTAAAATTTTAAAAATTAAACCATTAAAATTTAATATATTATTATATTTATTTGTAAAACATTTTTGCCCATTTTAGTTCTTAAACCCCTAACACTGTATTTATATCAAAATAACTTTTCCAACTTAAAAAATAATAAAGTTATTTAAGGAATAATGCAGAATAATAATGTCTAATAAAATCATCACTATTCAGCATATAAAATTCACCATGTACAAAAAAGTTAAACACAAAACAGATTTTACTAAGGCTAACTGCTATTGAAGGCTACTAGTTTGCTTAATTTTGAATTTTGAACATTAATAAATTGCTTTTATCCATTATCTTGTCATATTTTGCTTCAGATTTCCTTCGAAGTGTGTTTTATTATGTTATTTTCTTTTTGTTTTATCAGAAAAATGGCATATTTAAGTATCCATGTGTGATAAGATAAATTATTTTTGCTTTACTAAGGTTAGACTACTCAAGTTTGAATCAGAATTATTTATCATAGTCATATCATTACCAGACAAGATCTATTTATCTTTAGCCAATTTTTGCTAAATAAAAATTAATTTATATAAAATATGTCTAATATGAGTAAACTTTTAAGTGCCCAAGGTGAGCCTATATTCAAAGATATCAAGAGGCAATGCATAACTTCCCACCTATAATTAGACTCACGTTTCATTCAATCTGTTTTCCAAGTCTACTTTTTTAAATGGACATTACAAAACTTCCTCCAAAGATACAATTTGAATCTGATCTAACTATGGACATTAAGCAATCACTATTAGTAAGCAGGTAGTTTTTTTTTTCTCCTACTTTGGAAAAATTGTATTCTAATAATAAATCACTATTCTCATGACTTTGACATTCAAATCTAACACTGACCTCATGTATATCTATCAATCAATGTTAGATCTATAAAGTTCGATCTGCTTTTTTAAGCAGCAATAATCACTATATTGGAAGATATGTTCCCATGTAAGACTTAAAATGTTTATAGGAGAATCTCCTTTCCATTTAAGCCTTACAAGTCCAGAAGAAAAAATAGACAAAAACATGAAATATGAATACCTAATGATCCAGGAATTCTACTTCAGGTTTAAAATCATCAGAACGTAGTCTATATGGTCACCAAGAAACAAACACTAAAATGTTTATAACAGCATAATGCATAAATTCAAAATCCAGAAACAACCTAAATATCTACCAACAGTCAAATAAATAGCAATTGTATATTCATACAAAAGAATTCTACAGAGTCATGAAAATAAATAAACTACAATTCCAGACAATAACAAACRTTTCTCACAATCACAATGTTGAATGAAGGAAGGATTACTGGTTGAACCCAAGTACATCAAGGTTGGAAACAGACAAAACCTAATCTGTATGTTAGAAGCCAGAAGAGCATTTACACTAGAGGACAAAGTTGATGAATGGGAAGTGACACAAAGAATTCCTGGGGTACCACTCACATTTGTTTCTTGATTTGGATATGTTCATTCTAAAAATTCACTGAGCTACAAGTTTTATGCACCTTACTGGATGCATATTTCAATTGAAAAGAGAACAGAGAAGCAGAGGAGAGAAGGGGAGAAGGRGAAAGACCAAGAGAAAATAAGGGAAGAGAAATAACAACCAAAAAGAAATATAGAACTCATTCTTTCCAAATACCTGATGACAAGATCCTGTGTTGCCACCAAGGAGCCCAACTTTTCTTCTTGTGTACAAATGTTCATGCTAACAGGATTGATATTATATTTCTTGCTTAACTGTTTAATTTGATTCATCATGTCAGAGCCTATTTCAAGAATTAAAAAGTCCAATTTTTAGATTTCTTGCCACTGGACAAAGAGTAACATACAACATCTCAAAAAAATAATTTTAGAAAGAAAATTGTTATCTAAAATTTACATCAGTTTTTCTTCTTCCTAAAAAAAAAAAAGGGCTTATTTACCTACTGTTATTTCTATGTTTCTGTCTCTTGACAGGTATTCTAACACAGGTTCAGACACGTAGCCAGATCCAAGAACCAAGACCTTTTTCTTGGTACTCATTGAAATTGATTGAACACGTTCTCTGTGGGGGGAAAAAATAGGTGGGGGGTATCATTTAAAATCTTATGCATTATATATAGCAGAATCTTGCTGTCCCCAAAACAAAGCAAAACCTAGACTATGAGGAAATAATTTCTCCCACACTACTTAAATAAGAACCTGAACAGAAATTCCCTATACCATGATCTTTCATTTCCATTTTAGATTTTGTAGGATGAAGACAGGAGCCTCACATCACTGAGATGTCCTGTGTGTGTAGACCTCCCATACAGACACTGGACCACTTCTTGGTTTACTCATAACTCTAAATTGGCTTTACAGTTTTTCCTTCCGGGGGATGTGATTCAGTCATGCTAAGGGCTTTCCTTTGGGACTTGATTTGAATCCTCACAACAGTGCAAAGAGACAATAATCTGAGATCACTATTATACACATTAGAAGTTGTTTTGCTAAGTATCTTTAGTGTCATATGAGAGCAGTCAAAATCATAGCTCTAAAATTACAAATGCAATGGCTTTACTGTAGAAACTTGAGGCTAATTCCAGGATGGAGTTTCATTTTCGAACAGTTTGTTCTGTTAGAATTCAAACGTTATTCTGGGAAAAAGCCTTTCTTTCCTACAAACAGTGATGAAGACATCCTTATAAACCCATTAATGCTTTGAATATGGAAGGTACTCATAAAGTGTCTTTTTTTTAAGAGAGAGAGAAAAAATTTTTTAATATTTATTTTTTAGGTTTTTTTTTTTTTTT